AAAAAAACGCACCTGATTTAAATGTCACACCTGAATGCTCACATCCTTTTAATTATGTTTGAAATTATGAACATTGCTCAACATCATGAAAATTAAACCTTATTTTCAATAAGCAATCCTGAAAAATATTTGGGGGTGCTTAACTTTTTTCCAGGTGTATATATGTGAAACTTTACTGCAAATATTTCTCTTCTATTGGATTTTACCTAAAGAAGTTCAATCTTATTGTGTACAGTAAAGATAAATTTACACTTCAAACTATTTCCTTCCTCATAACACCTTTAAAATCAATCCTTTTTTTTTTTACTTAAGTAGGAGAACTATCTATAATAACACTTTCTGTAGGGTAGGCATATTTTAAATGTGGATAAACAAACACCTTAAAGGCATGAGTAAAATATAATATTTGACAAATTATCCATTTGAAGATTCTGTTCAAATGCTTTACATTCTAATGATTTCAATTATAGTTTAAATAAGTAAGCTAAATAACAATCAATACATCAAAGACTAGCAACTACACTTCTAGTATATTTCCTTAGTTATCTATATTTTTTGTTCCACCCCAACATAACTGTTCCGCATGCTTTACTTGATACTGAATATTTAAATTGCATATTTGAAGGTTACCAGTGTAGCAAAAATGTCAACCAAGCCTTCCCATCTAAAAAAGTAATCACATTAGCCTTAATATTTGAAAAGAGTTTTCACAGGCCTGTTTATCTTAAGCATTTACGAGTTTGTATATTTTAAGTGACCTTAAACATTTTTATTGCTTATTCAAATATTCAGTCTAGCAAATCATAACTTTTGTGGGCTTAACATGACTGAATACCTATTAACTTTCAAAAATATATTTTGAAACCTGGTTTGAAAAAATAAACAAGAAGAACTTACAGATAATTAAATATCAGATGCCCCTCAACTATTATTAGTGGGTTTCCAGAAGGAGGCTCATGGCTCTTCAGTTCAGATAGTTTAGTCATTAAATTATTCCAATCAATGCTTGACAAACCTAAAAAAAATGAGATATAAAACTTCAATTGAACATTAAATGTTGTGCATACAAAGATTTTACATTTTCTTTTGTATGCTCTCTTCTGAAATGAAAAAAAGTGTGAGTAGAAAATATTAAGTACCCAAGAATAACAGTTCTCTTAAAAGTTACATCATTCTGGTTGTGTGCAATGTATTTTCAATTCTTTCGCAATGCAAAAAGCACACTAACATTTTATGTCAGGTATCACAACTAAGTGTTTAAATGCTGGTAAATCACCCACAGAAATCATTCTTTCTAAATCAATTTTTTAAGCTAATAAGTAATAATAATAGTGAAATTATATTTTATGATACTAATGGGTATAAGCAAAAACTGCTTGTGAAAAACTTTATCCAAGTACCATCATAATAAAATAGCAAAGAACATCCTAGAGAGCACAAAAAGGAAAGATTGTCTATTTCCTATCCATCTTGGAAATGTCATAAACGTGATCAAAATATCAAATTATGCTTTTTTCACACAAGATTAATCATTACATCTTTTGAAATGTAGTAAGTACATAGGACTAATATTTATACACCATATTTAATATGTTAAAATAAACACTGTAACTAGTTGATACACTGGTTGCAAGTTAACTGGCAGTAGCACTTTTAAACCTGAATCTGATACAAAGTAACAAGCGTTCAAGATTTTGGTTGAGAATATGGAAATGTGATATATACAGGTGACTTGAACATAGACTTGAGCTTTACCTGATAAGTTTGCAAAACAGGAGATTCGATCAACATAAGGAATTATGGATAACTAGCAGTAATAGTTGTTATCAAGACATTTGGAAAGTTAAATAGTCTCAATCACTATTATGTCAATTGTATCCTAGTAGGCCTGAAAGGCCTTGGTTTTGTACAAAAAAGACATTTTTGGTGCTTGATAGAGCATATATAGCATTGTTGACATAATATTATACACTTATTATATATAGGCATACAATGTGTTTTCTACCCCTTAGCTACTAAACAACTTCCATATTTTTAGTGATGCAGGTCTATTTTTAGTATAGAACACCGAACAAAGAAACTAATAAGTTTCTTTCATCTTTTTTAATCAAGGGGTTACCCTGGTTGCAAAGGTCTTCACTTTTGTTTTTTCTTCAGCATGAGATATGCTATGAGAAGGAGAAGTGGTCTGTTCTAACAGCAAATCATGGGCTCGCCTGAGGGGTATTTTCCAAGTCTTAATGATATATCAGTAGCCCTCAGTCAGATGGATAGCATGTGCACCTGAGGGAATTATTATGTTTCCTCTGTTTAAGTTAAACTGATAAAGAATTTTGCCAGAGATATATACTTTTACTAGACTTAAAAGGACAGATAAACTCTTCTTTGCTGTGGCTGACAAGCATCACTTATTCTGATTCTACGTATAGACTGCGATGTGAAATATCTTTATTCAAGAGATACTTCCTGCTAGACTTGAGTTTGAGTTGATCATAATCTAGCTTAAGAGGTGGAATTATTACAATGGTGAGAGGTCATCAATAAACTCCAACCCACTCCAGCCAACAAACAAGCATGTCTTTATTCAAGAGATACTTCCTGCTAGACTTGAGTTTGAGTTGATCATAATCTAGCTTAAGAGGTGGAATTATTACAATGGTGAGAGGTCATCAATAAACTCCAACCCACTCCAGCCAACAAACAAGCATGTTTAAATGTTTGTTTGTTTGAAATTAAGCACAAAGCTACACAATGGGCTATCTGTGCTCTAACAACCACGGGTATCGAAACTAGGTTTCTAGCATTGCATACTGCTACACCACTGGGGGCTTGTTTAAATGTTTAGACTTAATGTTGCTTGTGTTTTTTAATGGAATGAATATTGTGATCATTACAAACCTGTGTCCTGTCTTCTCCTTCTATGTAAAGGCTCAATCAAAAATTGAGATACCATGGTCCTGATCTGTGATATAGGATCTGGTGTCTTCTGTTTAGGAAATCATGGAAATTTGAATGCCATGGAGTAGGTGGAAAGATTTTGGTGCAGTGACCAGAATACTTTTATTGCAGATGTCTGGTTTTACTCTGGTCAAGTGTCTTATTGTCCATGTTCCTCAACTATTGTGTTGTTGATTGGAACTGTGCTTGAGAATAGCATTCTGTGGTAGAAGGATTTATATCTGGGATGAAAAAGTTGCTGCTGGAGATGAGTGGTTGGCAGGGACGAATGCTGGGTCTAGAAGGGACCCCCTCCAGGCCATGAGACTTTCATTTTTTCTGAAAAGAGCATTAGTGAATATTCGATATCTCTGAGCAATTGCTGCCCAGGGAAGAAGGGATGTTTCTATCTGGTGCACACAGAGTGAACAATTAAGTTATTCCCCTGAGGTATGTCATGTGGTAGGAAGCCTTTATAGGAATCTCCTGCAAGTGCCACCCAGAGTACAGCCATCATGGCTCTGGTCAGTACCACCACTTAATCAGTAAAAACCAGGGATGGCATACTACCAGAGCAGCTACAGGTCTCAAAGGAATCTGAAGTTTTGCTGAACCAATTGGGGAGGTACTGCAGGTACTTTGATGTCCTGTGATCCTAAAGCAGGGATCTAGCATTTGCCCAAGTTCATGGACTCCTGCACTACCCCACCCCCACCATATCCCAGCAGGCAGGACAGCTCTGCTTGGCACAAGCTGTGAGCTTGAGGTTAGGAGGTTTATGCCGAGATCACAGGCACCTGTCAGAGAGTCAAAGTAGGACTCATCTCCAATTTTTTAGAAATGGAGGAGGAGGACTTGGAACACTTCATCAGGCACTTCAAGTAGGTTGTTGCTTGGAATGAACAAAGTATGAGTAGGTACTATGTAATGCAGCTGTGGAATCAACACACGAGATGAACTGTTTCTTGTCCAGAAAATAAAAACACTAGCTCATACAATGATCTTTCTAAGTGGAAATGCACTCCTTGTATTGGTCTGCTCTTGAAGGCATCAAACATATGAGTAAGATTCAGCTTTTATTAGGACAAAGTCATCACTGAGCTGTGCTAAAACCTTAATTGAATGTAAAACTGAGCTATCCATCTAGCTTAGTACAAGAGCTTTGGTTTCTATTCAAATTCATCTGTACAGCCTGCACAGGAAAGCCTACCCATCAACAACCTATACAGATCCTATAGACTGCCTTATATATCACATCATAGAGGGACTATGGAGTGAATCAATGTAACACCATTTTGGAATGAGGGATATTCTCATCCTCACTTTGTCATTGTCTACTGTGATGAGGTTCCAAGTGGTATTTTCAAACAAGTCGCAAGAAAGGAAAAAGGCTACATCAGCGTCTGCCATGGCTGTCTATAGGCCAGACCATTTTGCATAAGTGGGTGCTCCATGTCAAACTCAGGTTCCACTAAGGAAAACTCAGCTGAAAACATACATATTTAAAATGCAGCAAAGTAACACTGGTTCCACAATCAGTGCTGATCATATCTTCATCTGGACATTGCTCCAGAAGGAAGAATTGAAGCAAATGCTTTGGGTGTTGGCAGCAGGATTATTATCAGGTGAATTGCCAGTATCTTGCCATGCAGGAAGACAATCAAAGCAGTTTTGTCTGACTGCACAACAAATGCAAATGCACCAGTAAGGAGCTGTGGCTGCTGCTACTACTTCAAAAAAACTAATAGAGCTCAGGCTGTGGTGGTCAGTCTGGCTCTAGAAAAGCTTGATGGATCTTGGTATGTGCTTATCAAGATAACAACGACAAGAGCTAGAGTTCTTAGTTTATATAATGCCGACAGGACACTGGTAGACATTGCTGTACATCAGGCACTCAAGGTGAAGCCAACATTCTGGCCAGTTAACAATGACTTCACCATGGCAAATGGTAGCAGGCTAGATGTAACTTGAGAAGCATACCTCCAACTGTATCTAGATTACTTAAGCCACAGAACAATGCTAGTGGATGGAATGGAAATACTGCAGAAGCTAGTAGTCAATTTTGCCAAAACAACAGGAGAATTGAGCACAAAAAACTATCCAGTACCAGACAAATACCAAAAGCTGAGCTAAATTTACATAATCTGTGGTTTCACCAACTTGTATGGTGAATTTTGGACTGTTATGAATGCATATTATCAGTTGCATTTTTATGTCAGCAAAGATTATATCTATATGCTTCATGACAGCATCATGTATAATGAGATAGATTTGAGGGCCTCACCATACCTCTTTCCATTCATGATCTTACATACATTTATGGAAGCTGAAAGAACTAATGTCTCTCCTATACTTTACAGCTTCATGCTTTTCCCAGTTAAATAAAATGCTTCTAAAGAAGCTTTCAAGGCTTTTGATGGAACAGTGATCAGCTTTGCCTTTTCAACTGTTTCACTTGTTGCTTGAAAAACTTAATGGTTTTACCCAGATATTTGGGATGTTTAGTTTCCAAATACCTTGTAAGTTTATTTGGTTTCATGATGTAATTAGTTAAAACCCGCAAGCACATAATGCAATGCAGTTGCTTTTTGTTACTAACAACTATGTAAGTGAAACCAAATTTTAAATAATCCAACTGGTACTTACAGACTTTAGTTTTTGGTTTGATGTTCATACTGAAGCAGTAAACAAAAATCGATGAAGTGCTAAATCCATCCACAGAGCCATCAATTTGTTCTTCATTATCATCAGCTTTTAATGATTTCTTCTGTTTGTTTATTTCTGATCCATCACTTAAAAAAGAAATTATATATTTTTTGCCAATATGTAATACTCACTTATCCATGTTTCTAAGTAGTAAATATACATTATATGCCCCAAACTTGAAACTAACAAGCTGACAAATGTGTAAAAAAATCTTGTGATATCTCGGCTATCCAATCAATAGTCAAGTTGCTTTTTGTATGGAATATAACAGGACAACAGTGGCATAGCAAGATGGGTGCAGTCGTCCCCGGGTGCAGGTGTGAAGGGGTGCAAAATTTCTTCTTGCCTATAATGCTTATTAATTAATAATTA